ATTACACATTCATACATACATTTATATTTAATATGTACTAGTATATTTGTGCAAATAAGTAGTAATTTAATTTTACTTTCAATGAAATTTTATTCGTAAAATTTAAAATTCGAATTTCATTTCGTATAGGCCTGCGTCCTATAAAATTAATTTATGTAATATCATAGTATTTTAAGAATAAATTAAGAGTAACGGTAAAATTTTATTTTAACAGGTATTTTAATTAAAACAGTTTAAATTTAAAAGTAAAAACTTTATTGTGATAAAAGCTTGCTTGTATATAAAAACTTTAATGGATTTTTTAAAAATTTTATAGGTAATTTATTAAATCTGAGCACAATAATAATAAATTTTTATAAAATCAATAAAAAACTTAAGTTAAGCATCACTTACTTATAGTTGTAAAATTTTTCTTTTCTTTTTTTTATAGTTTTTTTACTAATACACAGTGCGATTCATTAAAATTAAACCGTGTTAAATTATATGTACAACTACATTATTTTGCAAAATTCATCGAACATTGTTAAATTTTAATTGTAAAATTTTAAAAATTTCTTCAAGGTTTCAAAAGAAAATTAAACTAAAATAAATTTGAGAAACATATTTTTAAAAATGCGTCTGTTTGCAGTTCAGGACAAAAAAGTTATAATTTTTAATTAGATTTGAAAAATTACTAGATTTTTCATCTACATACATATATCTCCTGCTACTCACACAATAATCCAATAAAATTCTAGGAATAGCAGTTTTTGATAGCTTAATAACGAATCTATCTAAAAAAATTATTAATACCAGGTACATTTAATCGCGTTCTTTTCGTGTTTTCATATGACCGAGGTGAATTCATATAAATATCTTCCCATCGCAACCATCGCAAATTGAGATCATATTTCGTAACTAATTTAATTAATTTTGAAAGGTAATCTATTTGAAATTTAAATAGTTTGGAAAACATTTTTTAGAATTTAATCATTTTTCCCAATATTCCTTTCCCTAAATGTATGCAATTTGTTTTTATTTACATAACCTAAAAATGCATTTTTATTTATACAAAACCTCTAAAGCTTCATTCAAATTAATTTTATTAATTTAAATTTCTAGTTATATTTTATTTTATTGAAATGTCTTCTAACTGAATATTAAATGGTATAGAGTTACCAATTCGTGCAACAATTTACTACAACATTCTAAATAAATGATTACAACATAATTATAATTTTTATATGTTTTCCATAGAGTTTCACTCTCATAATAGTTTCTGCTTACATAATAATTATGATGATAAATAAACAATGACAAGTAGGAATAACTCACTTTCCAAAATTTTTACTGTAATGATGGTAAATTTGCAGAAAAATTGTTTTTTGTATCAACGTTTATGATTTTTATACGTATGACATTTAATTAGTGAGAAAGAGGTCAATCTTGTTTGTATCGAATAGATTAAACGTACTAAATTCTAACTGTCAATCATTTAATATAGTCAAACAGAAGTTAGTCATTTTTTTGTTGTTATCAGTTTTGATACATGCATGCATGTTTTTATTACTTAATTGGTTGTGTAATGTGAGTTATGAAATCTTTTTTTAAAAAAAAATTACTTTTTAGTTGATTGAAAATATTTTCAACGACACCGTGTACTGTATGTATTGAATAATATATATTTAGGTGAATGTGTGAACATGAATGACGTACAAAAACTATTCAAGTGGCTCGATTACACATTGTAAGTGTTTTATACGATATTTTTGTATGAATGCATATACATGTATGTATATATGTACATGAGTGAGTACGTATAAGTAAAAATGTACTTATATAAAAGAAACGTTTTTTAAAGGATCGATAAGATAATTTTCAAACAAAAAGAAAAATTTTAAGATAAGCAAGCGAAAAAAAAAATTTTCTAATATTCAAAATAATTTTTGTTTAATTTTTATTGTTATTGTTGCCATTTTAGCAATTTTTATCGACTAAAATTTTTTGTTTTATTTTTTTTTTCACTTCATAATTTTTTTTCTGTTTTTGTTTTTATAATATAAATAATGAGTGTTATTTCTTGTTTTGTTTTAATTTTTTATTTCATTTGTTTTTATGGCATAAATTTACCTGTTGAGATGAGTTCTAATTGAAAAATAAATGGAACAGAGTTACCAGTACTCAAATAAATTTTCACATTTCAAGTGCTTTAATTAACTATAAAAAATTAAGGAAGAATTTCTCAGATCATTATTGTTTGAAATCCTATTGTAGAAATCTCATTAATTTTATAAATTTACATGGTTCTATTTCTTTGAGATTTTGCAGTTGATGCATAAATTTCCAATTTAATTTCAGTCATTTGGGCTATAAATTAATCAATTATAACTTCGTTTAGATTATAAATGACTTAACGTAGTCAATGGGAAATAAAAAGAAAATTTTAATTTTGGGCCACCAAATTTTATGTGTCGTAATAAAATGCACTAAGTATTTTTCCACGTCATACAAACCGTATTATATATAAAATTATATTTTTTACTATTAAACATTAATAATAAATTCCAGCAATAATAAAAAATATGTTTATCGTAAAAAATTCATAAATGTCACTTGTATACAAATATGTTAATGAATAGTTTATGATTATAAGTGCATATGTACTCATATTATTTGAACTTGCATTATTATCAAAAATAATCACAACTAGTAAGAAAATCTGTTCATTCTCAAATTATCATTCATAATACCGTAATCTAGCACACATTTAAATAATAGAAAAATTTCCTTTAATAAAAACAAAATATTTTTTTACAAAGTCGGTAAGTATTAGAACTTCAAGAAAAAAAAAAAAAAACGCAGTCATTCTTCTTTTACTCCTTCATTTCGTATACAATATTAATAATTGCGCATATTATAATTACAGAGCAGGAAAAAGAAAACATAAAAAATAAAAAATTAACAAATAAAAATACTAATACACTTATACATAAAGGACATTAAAATAAGTACACGTATGTATGTACGTGCGTACAAACTGCATTGTATTTATGTATACACATAAATACAGAGTACTACGGCATCCATACAAATATGTATGTAAAAAGTTTAAAATGTTGTATGCATTCAAATATACTCATGTTTTTTTTAACAATTTTCCTTTTTATCCTTGAGGGGTTAACGTTTTCTATAGGGGTTAATATTTATATACAAAACTTGTACATATTTTGTTGTATATATTTACGTACACATGCATAAACATATGTATATACACAATATGTATTTTTCTTTTTCTTTTGTGTTTATTAAGTTTTTTATTAACGTAATTTTGTTTTTATTTTATGTGTTCTACATTGTTCTAGAAATTACTTTACCGGCCATTTAAAATATAATTTAAGTAAGTAAATAAATATGTACTCCTACAAATTCGGAAGAGGGTGTCGGATAATCCTTAAATTTAAATAAATAAGAACACAATATTAAGGAAAGAAACTTGCGAACCGAAAGGAAATTGATTGGACATAGAAATAGAAAAGAAAATATTATTTATAAAATAAATCGGTATGTACTTGTAAAATTAAGAAAATAGTTATAAGTAATTTACATGTGTATTGATATATATTTGTTAAATAAAATAACTTAGTAAACACAATTAAATTACCATAATTATCACTACATTGCAAGTATATAAGACGAAATATCTTCAGCTGTCAAATTACAATCTGTATCTGTCAATTTAACGTCTGCACTTAACAAATTAATAAAATCTTTATATGCCAAATAACTAGATATTTTCACAAGTGCAATATTGCAAAAGCATAGGATATGCAATAAAACTTTACTTATTCAAAACGGCTCATAACAATTCTACAATGTTTCTGATAATTTAGCAATGTTTACGAGCAAACTTGATTTGCAACATTTGTTCATGAACACAAATATAGCGCGGCTTTCGCCATACATCACAATATATTGAAATTGTTATTTTTATTTGTAATATAACTTAAATATTTTTTTACACTCACGTAAAAGTACGAAGAGGTATTGTATTGCAAAATCATATTGTCTCAAGAAATTTTGGCAGAAACTTGTTCCTGTTTTGTCTTTACTTGTTCCTATTTTGGCATTACAAAATTTGTAATGCCAAAATAGCAGCAAGTACTTAGAAATCAAAATAATTTTTTTTACAATTTATGTCACAAATTTTGAAGTTTATTGATGACATTTCCTAAGTTTTCAATAGGGGGGAATCTTATTTGCATGACTCATATATTCTAAACAAAATGCTAATAAACATTTAAAAAATAATGAAATTTTGATGAAATTGATATTTATTTCATCTGTAATTTTTTACTTCGCCACACAATTGGTCGTTCTCAAATTGTGACATTTTTGTATTTTACTTTCCTAGGATGTCCTTTTGAAGACCCTTTATATATATGCAGTTAAATTCTCAAATTGAATCAAAAAATCAAGAGTGTCCAACACTTCAGAATTACTTTTCATATTTACATTTTTATGTATGTACGTATATATATATGAACAAAAGAAAGAAAATCAAAAAAAAAAATGGAAAGAACTCAATAATTGCGTAAGTATTGTCATAGCTATTCAACATTTAAGTATTTATAAAAATAAATCAATCAATTCAATAATAGTATTAGTAGCACTATCGATTTTCAATTTTATAACAAGAAATTAATTAATTGGTGACAAAGTTAAATTTTTTGAAAATATTTCAAGAAAATGTTGAAAACTGCAAAAAATATGTCAAAGAAATTATTCGAATAATATTACCTATGTAGATATTTAAATAAAATCTACATGTTGAATTGCCATCAGTGAATTCCCAATATTTTTGATTAATGTAAAAAAAAATTGCAAAAGTATTTGACCTAATAAAATTTACTTATTATTTTCGTTTGCTATTCATAAAATAATTTTCAATATACTTATTATTCGTAAATAATTTATTAAAAAAAAAATAATCAAACAAAAATTATAAAATTATTATCACTTACCCGACAACGCCTTTTTCATATATACATCCGATTGGGCGCCATGGGCAACCCTTATATTTTCCAATTAATTTATCTGAATATTTATTCATATTATATGTACTAGCTTTATTATCAACTGTTGTGCTACCAGCTTTCCTTCTTGATGGATTATAATAATTACGTTCATGTGCTACAATTTTTTCACGATCAGCTTGTGTTGGTGCTGTTCTTTCATCATTACCAAATTGTTGTAATATTTGAAATGCAGTCGTATCACGACTATTATTATTATTTGTATTATTATTATTGTTATTATTATAGTTATTGCTTTCACGAAATTGTATACCAATAATTGTTGTTGTACCATTTGTTGATATTGTATTAACACCACCAACAATAGTATTATTAAGTGTTGTTGTAACACCGGTAACAATTGGTGATGTTGTTGTTATTATTGATGAGCCAGTTGTTGATGATAATGTTGATGATACAGTTGATGATTGTAATGCTAATTGTGTTGTATTAATATTATTATTAAAATTTTTTTGTTGTAATAATTGTTGTTGTTCAAGTTGTGCTTGCATTTCAGCTGAATTTGTTTCCCAAATAGCAAACCAAGTTCTAAGTGCTGGTCCTTCCTGTTCTTCTTGAAACCAACCCACAAATGGATCCATTCAAGCAGTGTCCTATGTTCTTTTTTTTATAGAGTTTGTTTTTTCTTTTTTAAAAAAAGATTTTTATTATCTTTTTTTAAAATTTTATTGTTTTTTGTTTTACTTAATTTTTAAGGATTTTTTCCATGTATTCTTTAAAAAAAAAAAAAAAAACAATAAAAGAAAATTAAAAAAGAACAATTTTTGTTTGTATTTTTTCACTTTTTTTGAGATTTCACTATCGATTTTTGTTTTTTTTTCACTATCGAATTTTGTTTAAACAAAATTTTTATTTACTTAACACTAGAAAAAAAATAGCTAAAATAGTTTAGAATTTCTAATTTTTGCTTTCTTTCTTAATTGTATACAAATTATAAACTGGATATTTTTTTTTATTTATTATAAATAATTATTTTTATTTAAATTTTGTTTTCTTTAAATTTTGGGATCTGCAAGGTAATAAGTAAATAATTAAGTGTTATTATAAATATAGAATTTCCTTTTTGTTTTTTAAAATATCTTTTGTAGTTACTTTATGTTCTAAGAACGGCAGTATTAATATTTCCACAAAAATCTGCAGAAGGAGAATAAAATTTTATTTCTAAACTTGTTAAAATTTTTTTTAAATTGTAATTTGTTGATCCTTATTAAAGAAATTTAATTGCTTCTTGTTTGTAATTTAAAAAAAAAAAAATAAGTTATTTTTTTTTATTATATTTTTTATTATATATTATTTTTAAATAAAATAAATAATAAATGCTAGTGTTTTCTCTGGTTCTTATGTTTACATTAATTTTTTTTGTCTTTTATTTATTTTTAAAATTATTGTTGTGATAAAAATATTATTATTGTTTTATTTAAGAATTCATTTTGAAAAATTTCTTTTTTTACACCTCTGGAATTAGAATTTAAGAGAAAAATAAATAGGTAAATTAGAAATCAACACAAAATTTAAATTTAAAATTATCACTTAAAATTAAATTTTCTTAATTTTAAATATCACTCAATTAATGCTCTTATGAATCAAAATAAAAAATATTATGGGCATATTGTTACGAATGTAGATTTTAAATAAGTACTGTAATAAATTTAATAATTTTTTTAAAAATTTCAACATTTAAAATTTAAATTTTAAAAATATTTATTTAAAGTTTTTGGGCACATTAACACAAAAAATTAAAGTTCAATAATCGAAAAATTAAAATTTAATCAGCAAAAAAAATTGAGAAAAAAAATTTTAGAAAAAATTTTGCATAATTGTTTTTTTTTCCTTTAATTTTAATAGCTGTTATTTAATTTGCTACCTGCTGTACACATACGTTCATTCGTATATTATACGTAGGTACACACATTTATACAATTTATACACAATACAATTTATTTATAAGACAACAAAAAAAAAAAGGAAAAACAAAAATTTTATTTATGCGATTTTTGTTTTTTTTTTTCTTTTTCTGCTAAATTTTCATTTTTTAAACAAAATTAGAGAAAATTATTTTCTTAATTTTAAGGTTATGTTTTACGTTTTAAAGTAAATAATTTTAAATTTATCATTATTACTATTTAAATTCAATAAAAATTAAAAATAAAGTTATTAATTATTTAATTATATTATGTACCTATCTACTATAGGGTAAAAAATATATAAAAAAATTAAAGCACAAAACTTCTACTTAAATTTATTGTTAATATGGGTAGGTAAGTAATAACAGGTAGGTATGTATGTTTGTAAATATCCATATATACAAAATATTTTCCTATCTTTTATATTTTCTATTTAAACAGTGTTAAAAATATCTCATAATAAGTTTGAAATTTTTATATTATTTTTCATTTTATACCTATAAGTAGTTGCTAGAGCTATATTATGTATGTATTTATGTAGATATATTACATTCTAAAAATCTATTAAAAAAATCAAACAGAAATTTTATTTCCACGTAACGAAAATCTCAACTTTTTTTTTCTCTCCTGTATTCTATTTTTTTTTAATATGGCTTACAATATTTTAATTAGAAAAAAAAATTTACCTTTATTTTTTAAAAGCTTTTTCATTGTGATTTTTAATTTTTTTTTTGTTTTTTGCATAAAAATTCATTCCGGAATGATTATTTAATTACGAAAAAAAAAAAAAAAATAACCAAAATTTTTTTGAAATACTTGATATTTTCATTCTAAAAAGAAATTTAATCAAATCTATAAAATTTTATATATGATAATATATATGCATATAAGTATGTATATACATATATACACACACATGTACAAGAGAGAGCGAGAGAGAGAGAGAGAGTGGAAAAAAAATAAAGAATAATTTTTTAAAAATGAAAAAAAAAAAAAAACTATTTTAATAATGTAGGTAGTGTAGAGATTAGTACGTACATACGTTTCACATAATTATAAAAATATATAAGTTATAATTTCTGTGTATATAATATAATATGTCATTATAATATAATATGATATAATATGTAGTAATACTATATATATGTATACATATGTATAAGACTACGATGAAGACGGCTACGTTTTATGCGATATTAAAAAATTGTACACAACACACGCCTTTAGAAAGGCCATTTCAGAAAAAAAAAATATTTTTTTTTCCCTTAAACTTATTTCTTTTTTTATTTCTAAAAAAATTTAATTGTAATTTATTTTTTTATTATTTATAAAAGAATACAGTCTTTTTCACTTAAATATTTTTAATTTCATATAATTTATATATGTATGTATAATTAATCCTTATAAAAAAAGTTTAATAACTACACTTTATAAAAAAAAAAAAAGTTTAAAATCTTTTTTTTTCCCTTATTTTTTTTTTCTTTTTATGTGTGCTTTTTTAAAGAAGGCAAGGAGATTGAAAAAATTTCTTCTACTGAAGTTAAAAAAAAATAACAATAATGACAAAATGAAAAAAAAAATACGAAAAGGTTATGTGTCAATACCGTTTTTAATAGAACAAACGAAACGACTGACATTTTTCCGTCTTCTGTTTTTATTTTTCTTCTTCATACTACACAATGTACAATTGTATGTACATACAATATTGTATTGAAAAATCCATTTATTTCTAGATTGAAATTGTAGTACTACTACAAAATAGAAACAATCGGTATGACATGAAACATTTTAAATTCCGTATTACTTATTTTGACATTTAATGGTATATAATATATAAATACAAAAACAAAATAATGACAAGCTTAAACTAAATTGTATAAAAACTTTTTTGACATTTTATTGCGAAACTATTGAAAATAAACAAAAATAAAAAAAAAAAGGAAAAGAATTTTTTGAAATTTTGTACTAGATTTTAAAAATTGAAATGAAAAACGTAAAAATAATGTAGTAAATATTTTAGATTAAATTTCTGACAGTAAATTCACAAATTTTGAATGACAGTAAATTATCGAAATAATTTTTTTTTTTTCTTTTTTGCGTTTATTCTTTTTGGTTCTTTTTTTTTTTTTGGTTATGTTGACTTTTTTTTTGTATTATTATGCGGTATATTTAATTTTTTTTTCAAAAACAGGTCAAGAATAATTTCTAAAATTTTTGTATTAAAAAATTATTATAATTTTTAGAAATTTTAATTATTGGACAGATATATAATAAAAGAATAATTAATTTAGTAGAAATTTATATATAAATATATGAAAATAAAATGCGATGCACCTACATAGGTCTTTTTGGAATTTTTTAATTAAAATTTCAAGGGATAAAATACGTGTGGATGGATGTATATGACTATTTTAATGTAATATGTATTCTCGAAAGAGAGTTAAAGAAAAATGAAGAGCGAGTGTATGTGCATAAATAACTATATTTCTATAAGAAAATTTTAAACCCTTATGCGCGCATTAATTAAATATTTATTATTATACATGTTATTTTGCAATATGATAACAGCGTTATATATTGACACAAATTATAAATATATATTGGAATATGTACAGACGAAATTTATATATAGTATTTCTATATTCTAATTATGTTATATGAATATATTTTAAATTTTCTGAGCCCGATTGTGATTTTATGATTTTTCATCTTTTCACATTAAAAAAGTAGACAGGAGTATATTTTGCGTATCTCATTTTTTCTAAAATGTGTACAAAATTTAGTTATTATTCATTCTATTTGTTTTGAAGTTGATAGATTCAGTTGATATTTTGAGAAAGAGTGCGAAAATGCAATTGAAAAAATGTGAAATCTTATTGGAAAAATTAAATGTCAATGAGAATTCTGATTACCAACAAAAGATACACTTAGGGATCAATATATGCATGTGGAACTTCTTTCAGTTTAATATTACAAACACCTAAAAAGACGCAATACAGAGAACTAACACAGTCATAACTAATATATTCTTGTCAAAATTCTTATTGGAAATATTCAAATTATCTATATAACTTGCAATAAATTAAGAACAAAACTTTAAAAATAATTGTTTCTTTTTTTCTTATTAATTTATAGTTTATTATAATATTATTTTTATAACAAATGTGCTGTAGTGTTTTAGTTTAAAACAAAATATAACACCCCCTAGATACTTATATTTATTATAATACTTAAGTACTATTTTTTTTATTATCTCATTATGCAAACCTTAAAAGTATACTTAACAACTGTTTTGGAAAGTACATACATATGTATTGACATATTGCGTAATTTAACGTGTACTATTTACCCTAAATTACGTAGTAGAAAATAAACAAATAAATAAATAGAAAAAAACAAGAAAAAAAATCTGTCATTCAATAATGCTAATTTTGAAAGATTTTCACAGAAAACTTAATGCTTAAATTTTTAATATTGAAAATTAATTTTTAGAAAATGCTTTTTAATATGATGATAAGTTGATAACTTGTAAAGAATACTTCTGAAAATACAGTATTAACTTAGTACGAGATGAAGTATGTTAACAAAAGTTGCTTAAATTGCAAAACAATGAGGACATTCTTAGGAACCGCATTTTAAGGAACTGAAATAGCAGATTATTTTTTTTTCGAAAACTGCAATTGAAAATATGTTCTCTTTTTTAAATTTGAGGTTGGATAACTTAGATTTGCAAACAAAACAAACTCTCTCTCATGCAGTCAAAAATTAATGCAAAAAATGCAGTTATTTAAATTTTCGATAGAAATGCGTACGCTTACAAATTGCATTTTCAAAAAAAAAAATTCATAACGACTTGAAATTTTCAATCTGTGCAGCATATTAGTACGCAGATTGAAACTTCAAGTCACATATAAACGAAGTAATTGTTTCTAATTAACAAAATTTACTGTGGAACCTACCTAAATAATGTCAAATAACTTAGGGTCTTTTTGTTTGTTGGTTTTTTGTGAATTAAAAGTTTTTTCTGTAAATACTCTCAATATTTACGATTCGAATAATTTCACTTACGTTATAATTTACATACTTATTTTTATTGATTAATTTTAATTTAATTTAGTAAAATTTATGCAGTCAAAATATCTACATATTTATCTTCTGATAACCAACCCCCCAAGAAATACTTAAATAGATTTGATTATTATAATATGTACGTATGTATGTACTTATTTGCCTCATATTTTTTCTTTTTAAAGGTATTTCATATGTACATATATAGCAATAAATATTTAGAATTTAGTATTTTAGATGATTTTAATAATTTATTAACATAGTCAAAAATTAATATTATCAAAAATTAATATATCAATTTTGCTAATTAATATTATAGTGTACTCGTAATAAATATTATATCTATGTATCTACATTAAATTCGAATGATATCACCCATGTATTTAAAATGCAGAGCTCATCTTCGCAAGGAAATAAAAATAAGTACCTACCTACATATCTACATATACCCTATCTAAAATCTAACTACATACCTTCCATCCTATCTATTTATCCTATCTAGACATATACACAGATACTTATGTATAAAAGCGTTTAAAACTAAAAAAAAGCATAGTGAATTTTTCTCGAAAAATCTTTTTGAATACATTAAATAGGTATGCGTGTATGTACGTAGGAATCCATATGTATGGATTTAAATATAATACAAAAATAAGGAAGGAAAAACAGAACCCACATGTGCTTATTTTTATAGTTTTAATTTGAAAATATTATTAAAAAAATTCCAATTAAAAATTGTAAAACAAAAATTATAACTAAAAAATTATTTGGAAAAATAAAAATTATTTTGGAAAATTTTCGAATTCAAAAAGAATTCATTTCTTTCTTATGGATGTAGGGGCAGGAGAAAAGGAAATAAAATTAGTTCAATATTATTTAATCCTGATTCATTAATCTTTAATAATGTACATAAATATGGCATTTTGACAATTAAAAAATATAGAAATTGCAAAAATAAAATTGAATTTTTATTTAAAAAAAAAAAAAAAATTTTAACCATATATACACACAAACATATGTATGTATCTAATTTTTATTCTATCAAAAATTTGTACTAGATTTGTACAATTTTTTTTTATTTTATTTTATTTTCCTTTTTATTTATGTTGTCAAGCTGCAATCTTCTTTCTAATAATAAACTATATACGTATGTATAAATGTATATTACACTACTACAATATTCGTCTCATTTCCCTTTTCTTTACCCCCTCAACTATCTAAAAAGTATCATTTACAATAATCAATAAAAATAAAAATAAAGAAAAACAAAATAAGAAAATCTTAGGTACTATTTCCCTTTCAAAAATTGTACTGGAATTAAAATAATTATTTAATTTTTTCTAATTTTATTATTTGAATATTAATTAATTAATATCCAATTAATTTAATCAAATTAATTTTTGAAAATAAAATCAAAGTCGCATAAAAAATATGAAATTGTTTCTAATTTTTAATACATATATATTGTATTATAAATATATATATAATATATTGTATTTATATATATGTATGTTTTTAATAATATACAAATTTTAAAAAAGATAATAAATAAGTAGGAACATACATAACTATGTATGTAATTTTCATATCTTTGCAATTATTCTCTTTTTTGACAATTATACCATTTGTTAAAAAGAGTCACATATATATTTTATGCAAAACATATTTTTCCTTTTCTATTTCTATATTCAAAATAATCTATAGAAAATAAGTCTATGTTTTTTTTTGCATGTACATATCTACATAATGTACAATTCTATATAAATGCACACACACATTCATATATATATATATATTCAATTACAACTTTTGTACAATATATTTAAATAGATTTAATGTATATAGGTTTGTAAAAAAAAAAAAAGTTCAACTCTATATTAAAATTTACTGTACCTTCGTAGTGCAGGATTTTCCATTTTTTCAATTGTATATAAAAAAAAAAAAAATAATGATAAAATACAAATTAAAAACTTTTTTCCTACAATTATTAAAAAACAATAAATTCTTAGTTTAATTTTTAATTCTTATTTCAAAAAAGAAAAACTATTAAAAACTTTTTTATTTTTTTTTTCTTATTTTCACTCAAATTATTCAAATATTTTTTTAGCATTAAAATCGAAATAATTTGAATTAAAAAATTATGTTATTTCGAGGGTTTCTCACACTTCACTCTCTTTTTTCACAAATAGAAAAATTTTCCTTTTTTTTTTATTTCTATTAAAAAAGAAAAATTCTATTACCGAAATTATAAAAAAGTTTTCTTTTAAGATTTTTTTTCAAAACGGCTACAACACGAGGTTTACACTTTTTTTTCTCCACTTGTATTTCGCACTTAAATCAAATTTTCAATATTTTCCAAAATTTTTAAAAAACAACTTTTTAATTTTGATTATATAAATAACAAATAAAAAAAAAAAGAGAAAAATGTTTATTAGGAATGTTTTCAAAGTCTTAATTAAAAAAAAGAAAAAAAAATTCACAAATTAAAACTTGGTCCATTTAAAAAAATATTTTTCATTTTCATAGAAAAGCAAAACGAAAAAAAAAGAAAAAAAAAAAACAGAAATTTAGGTATGAGCTTTTCCTTTTTTTTAACACTAATGTTTTAAAATGAAAATAGTTTTTATGATTTTTGTTTTTAAATAAATTATAATTTATATGAGCGAGGGAAATTCAATAATTTTATTTCTTCATTTCCCCACAAAAATTATAATATTTATTAAAAGGCTTCAGCAAAATCTCCTTTTTTTTTTTTTTTTTTTTTGTTAAACACGACGATACTTTCAATTCAATTCTCATTAACGACGACCATCGAGTTGAGTTCTATGAAAAAACTGAAGTTTATGAAGAGTGAAAAATACAAAATATATAATTTTGACATTTTTATATTCAACATGCTTTTGCAAAAAAGTGTTGACAGTTTATTGAAAAATTTAAGTGACTCTTTGTTGGTTGCTATTAAATTGAATTGAAGTTGTCAATTTTTTATTGTTTTGGTAAGTGGTCATGGTTTGTTCTATTGTTTTCTATTGATAGTTTTTAGGTTTTTACCTGTGTTCCATTTACATTTTTTTACTACTCTTGAATAGCTCAAATTGAACAAAAGTCTAATATCTTGAATGGTAGTAAAAATAATAGTAAAAAACCATCTTAAACGGTTGGATAATCACCTGCCTAGTCAAAGTATATCTACCAATAAGTAGTTCGACTCTCCGTTTACATCACACTAACGCAATCACTCACCAATTTTTGTATACAAAAAATTGTTAAAGGAGTTAAGCAGTATACCTTGTTATTTTCATTTTTATACACATAAGAATTTTTTTAATTTCTGTAATTCATTGCAGTACAAGGTGGCAAAAAAGGTGTATTCATATTACAAAAGCAAAGCGGACAAAAAGTGTTTTAAAAAAAATTATTATAATTTATATAATATTATTTTGAAATATAATTAAAAAAATGTTCAAAAGACGTATAATATTAAAAAAATTTTAAATAGTAAATTTTAAAATATTTTTCAGTTTTTTATAAACCATCCAAGAATTTCATAGATAATTTAAAGAATTTAGAAAACACTTTTATTAAACTTTTTAATGATATTTGTACAGAAAAAAATTTAGAATGTAAAATATATGAACACTTAAAAATAATTTCATCTATGAATGTTTGAAAATTAGAATTTACCACATAATAAAAAGTTTTAATAAAACTATAAAACAATTTGATATAAAACAAAAAATTTTTAGTGTTAAGCATTTGTAATTAATAATTATCAATAAAATAAATAAATTATCTTTAAATTTTTTACTTTTATTTCAATCTTAATAAATTTATAACATATTTCCCATGAATTGGTAATAATTATATTTCATAAAGTAATCATACCTAAAGTATGCATACACCTTTTTTTTCCTTATAAATTACTTTATTTCTATGTCACTACCTGATAGTGTATATCTATTGTACTAGGTACATGCATGTGTACATTCATACCTGAAATTTCAAACTCTTTTGCTTTCATACATTCGAATTTTTTACCTAAATTTTATAAAATGAAAAATAAATTTTGTTATTTCAAAATAAAAATAACAAAATTTTTACCTAACTTAATTTAATTTTATTTTAGTTCAATGTTTTTGATACACTCGTTTGTTTACAATATTTTGTTTCTTTCTTGGCTACACAACTCTTATTACCATCTACTTTTAAAAAAAAATGGAATATTTTAAGAATTTGGAAGCAAGATGCAAACGGAAACTAACGGAATGGAACGAGTCGAGTTACTTATTAGTAGATATACTTTGGTTAAACTCAGTGATTAAAATAACAAAAGTATAAGTTATATCCTTCTAAAGTTGAAGAACGAAAAAATATCGATAAATGGAATTGGGTTTTTTTTTTGAAAAAAGTAAAATTTTTTACAACTCTTGGTTTTATTCATGTTTTTAAAAGTAAAATCCTAAGTAGGTTGCTAGTTTTTTTCTTACCATTCAAATTTGACGTGAAATAATAAAAAAAAAATAATGTTATATTTTACTCATATACGGAAAAAGATTGATATATTTAGAGACTACGCATATATTGGCAACCTATAGTAGTTCTAAACAGGTTAGATGTTGCTAAACCTGTACTGTGTATAAAATTTTGAGTACATACTGTAAAATGAATTTAATTTTTTATACTTCATTTATTGATATACATATATGTATGAGCTTTATATAATTCATATAAAATATATTTTGTTTTTTATACATCTTTTTTATATAATTATATGTTTCTCTATTAAACTGTTAAGCTTAAGCAGTATAAGAAAGGTATTAGAGATCTAAATCGCATTGGGAAAAGCATACACGCATTTAAAATATTCTTTTTATATATTTTAATAATATTTGATATATTCGACATATTGAAATTTATTCATATTTGAATATTAAAATATTTGACATATTGAAATTTCACCATTAGAAATGTTAGAATAATCCATTATAAGAATAATGTGTCATAATTATTGTAAAAATTCTATTGTGAATGAATAAACGGAAATTCTTTTTGTGAATTCCAAATTGGCTTCTTTATAATTATAACTGTATATTATTAATTTATAAGGGAATAAATTTGATTTTTGTTTTCATTATTATTTAAAATAAGAATTAAATATGTAGTTATAAAATTACATAATATTATTGGTATCTATAAATCATTATTAATTAAATAATAAATATTAATAGATTTGAGAAAGTTAAGAAAATTTATAGTTATCAGAAAGTGAAATAATAACAAAAGAGCAATTGCAGTTCGAGTTTGGTCTTGTTTGAAGACAAATTTAATTTTAAGTAAAAATTTTTTTAATTGGATATTTAAAACAATTACATATTTTGAAAACTGTGTAATTTGTAAGATACTAGAAAATTGTGTACTAGTTAAAATTTTCATATTGAAAGTATAACTTTAATATGCATTAAATGAAATGCATGAATAAATAAAAATTTTCCTACCACTTTCTAAAATCCAGATGGTTTTTAAGAAATATAAGAAATATATTTGCTACAATATGTACAAGCACCTTATTTTTTGATAGTAGCCTTATGGGCCTTACTATGTAATTAAACCACTAATAGAAAGGTATAATACAATACAAATTTGATTGGTGCTATCTAACTATTTTTGTGAATACGAAAATCGTTTCCCGAAAAACGAATTACATAGTATGGTCCACTGTTATGCACAAATTAATATTTGCAAGATTAAAATCTTAAATTGAATTTCGTTTTATAGAGTTTAAAATTTAAATAATCAGAAACTAGATATTTTTTTACATTATTATACTCAAGAGGCAGCACAGGTTATCGTTAAGTTCATACTATTGATTTTGTGTATATAAACCCAATTAATAGCAAAAGCACGAACCAACAACTTTTTGTTCAAATTGAAAAAAAAAAAACAATTCAATTTCATTTTCATTTGTTTCACTCATCTAAATTTTAGCGGAATCAAGAACCAAAAGTTTTCGTTCTTTTTTTGTGAACGAATTGCTGAATTAATTTTTTTTTTAATTATCTTGTTTTCTATGACATATTCCTTGTGGTAGCAAACTCAAAAATATAATTATTATTTTTGTGGTGTGTTGTGCGCAATATTCAATTCAAAAAAAAAAGAATTCACGGACAAGCAAATGCTAGAACATTTATGCATTTGTAAATTTACAGAAATATAAATAAAATAGAACAAGTGATAATTGGATAATTTTTTAAAATTAAGAATAATTTTATTGTATATTTTTGTTAATAATTTCGAATACGTTTTTTGTTACACTTATTCTAGTAAACGGATTAATTATATTGAGTTTGTTTATTCAATGTTGAGCAATTTCAAATTTCATAGTTCACTTGGAATGAAATTTTAATTAATACAAAAAAACGTTAGAAAATGAATAGTTTCTTCTTTTTTTTAAATAAATCTACCATTCAACAGGTGGCACTGTTCGATCTTCCGCGATCTATCAAGAATTTTAAAATTTTTTTTTGTTGTTTTAACAAATACAATTACTACATTACAACACTACATAACTATGAAATTTATACTACACTACATTTGAAAATGTTGCCTTGTTTTGTCATTTTTTTCTTTTCTACAAACAAATAAACAAACAGCACCACAATACAACAACTACAAGCTTAGGAAAAAGAAGAAGAACAAGAAAAATTAATAATAAAATGAAACGAAACGAAAATAAAAGAAAAAAACGGAGGTAAACTGCAATTGCTCTGTAGTTTTCTATTTTAGTTTAAAACCGCTGTTTTCCGAATACATATTGTGTATTTTAAATAAGTTTTTCGGATGTGTAAACCGGTAAATTACGGATTTTTTTTCTTTTTCTAATTTATTTTTATTTACCTTTGGTACGTTGTAGGTAAAAAACAAAAATAATTTAATTAAGTGCTATACTGCTATTTATACGCAATAAAAAAATATATAAAAAATTTTGGAATTAAATGAAATATTAAAAATTTTAACATTTCAAGTACCTATTTATTAATTAAAACTTACCTAATTTGTAAGAGTGTGTAATTGTTAATTAAAATAAAAGCAATACGCATGCATAAAATTAGTAACTGTAGTGTTTATTAGAAAATCAAAAAAAATGGAAAATTCATTCTCTAATAAGTAGGCACATTGCATGTTTGTATGTTTGTGCTTATATGTGTACTTAAGCAAATAAAATAAAAGTTAGTAGGTGCGAATTCAGTGAACAGTTATAAAAAAAAACAAATTTGTGAAAGTTTTAATTTCTTATCTTAAAAATAAAAAATAAAAGATTTCAAAGATAACCTAGCAAGTGTTTATAAATAATAAATTTTATAGGAAAAATAAAAATTTGTGTGCCTACAGAAAAATTATACTGCCATATTTACCTGTTAAGGTTGCATTTTCACAATATTTTTTTTTTATAAATCAAATTATAACAATATAACAATAAAATTAAATTATTGGATTACTTTCAGTCATATGGATATTTTCAGCAAAACTTTAAATGGTAAGTACCTACTGAATGCCCTTTCAACAACACTTTTCTTTATTCAATTATATTTTTTAAGTACCTACTTAATTTGCATAAGAATCATAGTCTAGTAGGTACCTACCCAAACACTTATGAAATTTAATTCAATTAAAAGCATTATGATGTTTGAATTAATATTCTCTGAACATGCTCCCGACATACTTCCCTAATTTCTAAGACTCATCAGAATAGGATA